CTTTCCCCCCTACTTCCCACCTCCCCTCCCCCCCCGCTTCCCCTTCCTTCCTTCCTTCCTTCCTCCCTACTTCCTCCCCTTTTTCCTCTTCCAGCTACATGAGAGGCCGACTGACCCTGGCTCAAATCAACGCCTCCCTTCAAATCCTCCACGCCGCCGCCGCTTCCAAATACAAAATCCTCCACCAAAACCCCAAATCCATGACTTCCTCCATCCGTTCCCTTTACCATCGTTTCCGGGAAGAGGAAACCAAAGAAACCAAAGGTAAAACGTTTGGTGGAAGCGGAGAGGAAACGGCTTTTTCTTCCACTTCCTCCCTTCAGCTTCGCTTCCTCTTTTTTTTCTTGTTTTCTAGGTGAGATTTTCGTGGTGGAAGCCGACCTGAAAGAATTCACCCAGGTGAAGATGGATAGGAGATTCCACGCCGTTCTCAACGTCCTCCGCCATTGCCAAAGGCTTCGGGAGGTGCGGGGGGCCCGCCTGGTTCGTTACGTGCTTTGTTAACGAGCTAGGATTAATTAGCATCGAGGAGAAGCAGTGAAATCCCTATTGTCAGCACTTCGGCTTTCCGGTGTGGGTTGGCTGGAGGACTAATGGCGGCTGGGAGGACTGATGGCGGCTGGAGGCGGCCGCCCGGTTCGTTGCGTGCTTCGTTAACGAGCTAGAAGTAATTAACATGTGTGTAAGTCATTAAATAATTGCAATCAGTGCTTGGTTTTGTGGTGTGTTAAGTGGAGAGTCGGGGGGCTGGAGGACTAATGGCGGCTGGAGGACTAATGGCTGGAGGACTGATGGCGGCTGGAGGACTGATGGCTGGAGGACTGATGGCTGCTGGAGGACTGATGGCTGGAGGACTGATGGCTGGAGGACTAATGGCTGCTGGAGGACTAATGGCGGCTGGAGGACTGATGGCTGGAGGACTGATGGCGGCTGGAGGACTAATGGCAGCTGGGAGGACTGATGGCTGCTGGAGGCGCCCAGCTCCTTCATTATGTCCTTTGTTAATGAGCTGTAGCTAATTAGCATCTCTGTAAGTCGCTAATTAATTAGTCTGATCGCTTGGATGGCGGCTGGAGGACTGATGGCGGCTGGAGGACTGATGGCTGGAGGACTAATGGCAGCTGGAGGACTGATGGCGGCTGGAGGACTGATGGCTGCTGGAGGACTGATGGCTGGAGGACTAATGGCTGCTGGAGGACTGATGGCGGCTGGAGGATTGATGGCGGCTGGAGGACTGATGGCTGCTGGA